TCAAATCCTGATGCCTTTAAACTTCTTTATTCTTCTGATTACACTAAATATGAGATCCTGAGCAAGTTTGAATAGAGGTGATTACAGTCTACATCTTATTTTATACCCAGTCTCTCAGGGAAAGTTTTCTCTTCCCCCCCCCTTCCTCTCCTCCTCCTTCTCCTGCTTCCATCCCCCTCCCTCTTTCATACAATCTCCCTCTTTAGTACTGGCTGGCTAGCCTAGAACTTGCTATACAGAACAAGGCTAGCCTTAAACTTATAGCCATCCTGTTGCTTCTGCCTCCTGATAGGATTGCAGGCGTGTTCCACCACATCTGCACAGCTGGAGGGAAGTTTTGGTAGTGACAAGAGAGACGTGTTTGTGGGCTTTTAGATATACCTCTATATGGTAGATTAAGTTAGTTGATTTCTATGAGTTTGCTTTCTATTTGGCTATTTGGTGAGATAGTGGAAACTTTAGTATTATACACACACACACGCACACACACACACACACACACGAATGCGCATACACACACTCATATTTATGAATATATTTTTTTTTGCAGTCACCTCAAATAAATGACTTGTGCTCAGTTTCTTAATTTAGGTTATATATTTGGGGACACTTAAAATAAGATACAAGCTACAGGCCATCCAATAAAATGTTCGTGTGAAAGGCGTAGGCTATGGGCGACAGCTTCCAATCTGGCGAGGGTGGCAGCGGTTCTTGTTACTCAACAGAGATCTGCTTCAGTGATGTGGCATGCTAGGTTACACTTTGACACTGTGACCTATGTAAAGAGTGCATTTGTCACCCACACAGATGGGGATTTGGACTACCATCAGAAATTCAGCTCCACGCTTTACATGGTTATCAGTTAATTATTATCCCCATTAGAGTAGTGATGTCATGAAAGTGGAGGGGAAATAGCCTTAAGCTTTTTTGTTGCTGTTCTGAGACAAGGTCTCACTTGGTAGCCCTGGCTCACAGAGTCAAGGAGAGGACACGTTGTCCAGGCTAGGCTGGTCTTGCACTCGTGGAAATCCTCCAGCCTCTGTCTTCTGAGTCCTAGGATTAGTGTTGTGCGCCACTACTCTCGCCAGGCTGTAGTAAGTTGGACTAAGACTTAAGAGAGCCTGACTGTTATGTTGACCAGATGCTGAAGGGTTTGGATGAGAAGTGAGAGGTGAAATGTGTTTGTCTTCTACTCAGTGAGAAACCAAGTGGCCCATAAACCAGAGGAATGTAATGACCAGATGTTTGCGAAACTCCCCCTGAACAAAGTTCACCGTGAGAAGGACAGGGAGATCCTTTAGGAAGCCATCATAGTGATGGAGAGTAATATGGGAGCCAGGGCAGGAGCTGTAGCAGGGGCAAAGGGTGTGTTGTGTGTGTGTGTGTGTGTGTGTGTGTGTGTGTGTGTGTGTGTGTGTATGAGAGAGAGAGACAGACAGACAGAGACAGACAGAGAGACAGAGACAGAGACAGAGAGACAGACAGACAGAGGCAGAGAGACAGAGACAGGGACAGAGACAGACAGACAGAGACAGACAAGAGACAGAGACAGAGAGAGAGACAGAGAGACAGAGAGAGACAGAGACAGAGAGAGGCAGAGAGACAGAGACAGAGAGACAGAGAGACAGAGAGAGGCAGAGAGGCAGAGACAGGGACAGAGAGAGACAGAGATGGAGACAGAGACAGAGAGACAGAGAGACAGAGACAGAGACAGGCAGAGAGAGACAGAGACAGGGACAGAGACAGACAAGAGACAGAGACAGAGAGAGGGGTATTTGAAGACAATGGCTGGGCAAAGGGAGGAACAAGTAGTAGTGACTGAGCAGATGTGTGGACAGAAGAGGAGAAAAGAGTTTCTTGTGGAATAATGGTTTAAATGTTTTCACTGGGGTGGCTGCTCTTGCAGCAGGGAGCCCCCTGGTGGCAAAAGAGAACCAAGGTCGGGATTCCTCTCACGCAGGGCGCTGGCGGGCTGTTCCGAGACACACTGCGTACAACCATGGTCACAATATTATAACATAGGGATGCCCCTCTCCTTTCGTGTAGCAAAGAGACACATTTAAGAATAGCTGAGAGCTAATTGTTGATAATGGACCAGGAAGCGGGGTCTGACCACAACCTTGAACTGTTCAAAGGAGGTAGATACTAGCCAACTTCTTTCTCCAAGAAATCTCCACGTAGTTGGAAAAGATTAGCTGGAGTCTGTAGCACTAAATTCAACAGACACTGGGTACCTCTCCTGGGGGTTATTGATCTTGTTTCTTAAGAGCGCAGCCGAGAAGTGAATAGAGACTTTGAAGCTGGATTCATCTGAGTTTGAATGCTGGCTTCGCCACAATTGTGCCAGCCTTAGTATCCTCCCCTGTACATTGCACATAATAGCACCTCAGTGGTTACGGGAATTCAGGTGATGGGTGTGAATCAAGGCTTCCTCTTCCTTAACTGTTGGAGGTAGTCCTAAGGATTCCCTCAAACGCTCAGGTAATGATCCTTTAGGCTAATCCATAAATATGTAATTTAAAATATGGTAATAAAAAGGGGGACACTCCAAAACAACCTCAGAAAAATTAGTGACCTGGTAGACCACCCCATTTTCCTGAGGCCAAGGACTGTAGCTGAGCAGGGATCCAGAGAGCTCTCCATCTGTGTGTTTTTTTCCTCTAGGTGTTGAGCAGCCCTTGAATTTTCCAAAACAGGTGTGCTACATAGGTCTGAGTCATCGACCAAGATGAGATATTTCAGAAACTTTCCATTTTAAGCCTTGGGCATGTTCCTGATTGAGTATAAATACCTTGCTTGCTATATAAATATGCAGAGTGTAACCTCTTGCTGAGCACTGCAACCGATCTGAGAAGCTAGCCAGAGCATAATCACATCTAGCGATTATCTTTCACCAATCCAGTCCCTTTGGATACTGGAAAGGTTTGCAGTGTTAAAGCTCATACGAGTTAGCATTTGAAATCACTGTAGCCTGTTTTTTTTTCCTCTCCATGAGCTCTGTGTGCACATGCATTAGTTGGTCTTATCCATCTGTAAGCTTTTGTAAGCTCCCTAATGAAAACAACTGCATTTTCAAGGCTTAATTGCATCTTATTGAGTGGTCTATCTCTCATTCTGTAAATGTCCAATGATGAAAAATGTTCTGTTCATTAGAAACCACCAGCATGTGAAGGAGAGCTGGTGTTTTATTGACGTATGCAGAAAATATCATCCTAAAGGTCAGAAAATAACTATTGGAGAAGGAAAAAAAAAGCTTACCCTACTCCACTCTGCATAGACAATATTGTATTGAATAGCGAGAGTTTGACAAGACTAATCAATTACACACTTCATAAAGAAAACAGTTAGCAATTCCCTTCCTGTGTACTTGTGAAACCATCTTCTCATTAGCTCTTTAGATTTTAAATTGCTTTGTAAGATGCAACAGCTGACATTTTGTGCTTTTTCCTGAGCTACAGTAAACGTCTGCTGGATCCTAGGGAGGTGTTGACATGTGGAATAAAGAGTACAATCAAGTCTGCTCTGAGTGAGGCTGGTTTGGGGTACCCACCTCAAGAGGTAGGAACTAGCGCTCTGGCTTTCATGAAGTGAAGAAACACATTCATAGCCACTGCAACCCCACTATCCATCCCCTCAGCCTCTCCCTTCAGGTTTCTGTAATTTGGAAGAACATTGGCTGGCCTTTGTCACAGGTAGCCATGCTCCTGGATAAAGCACTAGGGACATTTTTTTTTCCTGATAGCCTGAATAAGTCTGGATTGTGCAGACTTCTGTAAACAGAAGGCATCGGCTCCCTGGCTGGGAAATACTTCAAAATAATACTTGAAAATACTTAAAAGTAATATAATTGCTTAATTAACTCAATAAACATGAGTCTATACTTGTTTTAAAATTATTTTTATCATTAAGTATGTTTGTTTTAAACTATTTCTATCATTAAGTATTATCTTGTAATTTAATATTTTGTAGGTTTCCCAAATACATTTGCCTTTGATATATCAGGGAAGACTTTTGGCCAAACGATCACAAATGGGTTAGCTTTTGTCCAAGTGTTACAATTATATCTACGTGAATATATATATATATATACATATGTGTGTGTGTGTGTTACTGCAACTGTTTTAACTAGACAGCTGCCACACAAGAGCCAAGGCTATGCAGTAAATTAATAGATGTATTAATCTATGTTTGTTGTGAACTAGGATTTTTTAAGAATTATACATATGTATTTGCTTATTTGACATATGGCCACTTTTTTCCCAAGTTGGTTGAGCTGAGTTTAGACTTCTTCCCTGTGTTATTAGTAATCTGGAGTCATTTTTCAGTTATAGCTGCTTGGGAAATGGTACACACAATCAGTGAGGGTGTGAGAATCTCTACTGCATCTTTGCCTTTCACGGTGACCTCCACATGTGTGAGCTGGGTGTGTGTGCATATGTCCAGGTGACTGAACCAAAACAGTGTGTTATAAATCAACTTGTCAATCTGAAATCATGACTGTTATAGACTAGTAGTTTAAGATGTGTTATATTTGTTTATGCTGTGGAGCATTTGTTTAAGATGCAAAGATGTGCTGCATTCTTTTATGTTGCATTTATTTAACTCTGTGAAGTTGTGTTACTGTGCCTGCCTGAAACACCTGATTGATCTAACAAAGAGCTGAATGATCAATAGCGAGGCAGGAGAGGGAAACAGGTGGGGCTGGCAGGCAGAGAGAATAAATAGGAGAAATCTGGAAGGAGAGATCAAGGAGCAAGAAAAGGAGGAGAGGAGGACATCAGGGCCAGCCATCCAGCTACGCAGCAAGCCACGGAGTAAGAAATAAAGAAAGGTATAAAGAAAGACAAAAGTCCAGAGGCAAAAGGTAGATGGGATAATTTAAGTTAAGAAAAGCTGGCTAGAAACAAGCCAAGCTAAGGCAGGGCATTAAAACAGCAACAAGTAAAACCCCAACCAACTACACATGACAATCTGAGAATGACCACAGAACCGACTCTTACCTTCCGGTATCCCCAGAGCTGGTTCCCTTTCATGCCGTGACAGTCATAGAGCGTGACAGGGCTACTGTGTGAGATTGCGTCGAAGCAGAATTTTCGGGTGTGCAGAGGCTCACCGGGTCGAATATCTTCTCTCCACCCAAAAGTAAAGAGCTGGCAAAAGAACAGCAGCAGAGAAGCCGCAGTGAGTTCACGTGTGGGGGAAAAGGTTCCAGAGCGTGGGGAGAGCCGTCTTGACAGTGCAGAGCTCCCATTTTGTGAATACCAGAAAGAAGTCTATCTCAGCACAATAGAGGCATTGAAAGGGCATGCTTCAAAGGGCTCCCATTTTGTGAATACAGGGAAGAAGTCTATCTCAGCGTGCCTCAAAGGGCTGTGACAGCTGTACCTGCGGCCAGACTGGTAAAAATGCAAGCGAGAAGTCTTCAGTGAGCAACGGGTAAGGAAGGGAAAAGGGGAGGGGAGGAAGGGAGGGAGAGAAAGGTATTTTGAAGGTGGGGGAAGAGGAGAGGGAAGGATGAAGGAGGAGAGAGGGGAGAGGGAGAAGGGGGGCTAGGAAGGAGAGGAGAAGGAAAGCCTTTAATAAAACTTTTAGCATTTGTCACGTAGATAAAAGGTTCCTGGATCAGGGACTGCAGCGTTAGCCTAATGAGCAGATTAACTGCCAATGGACAAGACTTAAAGTTGAGCTGGATTGATGCTCGCACCTTGAAAAATCCAATTTAAAGGAAAGCCGAGCGCAATGGAGTAAAGAATAGGCAAATTAATTTTCTAGCATAGGTCAGAGGAATTCTGTGGGGCAATAGAGACAGTTTTAGATCATAACTCACAATAAGATGTACAGTTCACACTTATAGGTCCCTGACCTCCAACCTGAAACAGGAGTTTCAGGGATGATAGGTACCACAACTCCATTGAATACTTCAATTAATATGCCATCCATTGTTTCCTATCCTCGTCTGGGTTATCCGTCTCACTCTATATTACAAATGCTACTTATGATGTCCTAAGTGAACTTTACAATGGACTAAATTAACAAACAGCATTTCTATTGAGAAAAAGAGCATTTTCTTGAGTTCCCTGAGCTGAACCACATTTGTAGGGTACGTCCAAGAAAGTCCTTAATTAAAGGAGAAGACAGACCGGAGAAGACTTGGGATTTCTTGCAGTTCTGGTTCAGTAGGTTATGTAATTCTCAGACGAGCAAGGACTCTAGGAGGCAGACAGCTGTGTGAAGCAGAACTGTCTGGGCCAAGGTCTTACTGACAGAGAGCAAGCGGAGTGGAGAGCTGTATGCAGCTAATGCCCTCACCACTGGCCTGGTCCTCTGTCTACTTGGGTTTTCAGATCCTACCGAGAGAATCTGGGGGCAATTCCAGAGATGGCTAAGAGAAAACAGTTAAGTGATGGGAATCTGAAAGCGACTGGAAGGACTAGGTGAAGTGGTCTCAATTAGGAAAAGAAATGATTGGAATCCAATACATGCATGAAGGCATCTGAGCAAAGGTGAGTGCCTATGCTCTGTTCCCTTGAAAGGCAGGACAAGAGGCCAGTTCAGACAGGACAAGGGGTGTCAGGTTAGGCACTTGTGATGGAGTCTTGAGTAGGAATTGTGCTCTCTGTCTGTCTGTCTGTCTGTCCTTCTCGTTGTCTTAGGTCCTTCACACAGGAGAAGTATCTATTTGTGCTGTTCCTAATTTTGAGCTCTCTTCCAAGGGTGCTACTTCCGTGGCTTTTGAAGTACCGTGCTCCTCCACAGTAACCATCTTTCATCTGTCTGCTTAACGTGGTGTCACCAAGGGTGTCTGTCCTCCTTCTTTCCTGTGTGGGCTTAAATTCTCTCAGACCAGCGTTCACCGAAATGCTCCGAACCCACCCACCACGGTGTGTCTGGCTCCTGGCAGGATTTCCTGACCGTGTCTCCCAGAGGACTCCCATCCAGCCTATCCTGCACTCACCGGAGTTTCATTTCTTGGCTAGCCTGTTCTCCTGTGATTTGCTTCAGTTGGTGGTAACGTCATTCATCTCGTCGGCCATGGAGTCTCGGAACGTTTGCCTCCTTTACTCTCCTCATCTAATTACCTGGCAAGTCTAACCACCGTCTCTCTCTTTGGCAGGACTGGGGATGGAGCCCACCGCCTCACACACACTCCCGGCGACCACCACTGTACCGCTAAGGCACACCTTGGCACTTTTGTTTCCTAAGCATTTCTGGAATGAGTTTCATCCTCCAAATCCTCACAAACGTCGTTCTCAACATCTCTTGTGTAGACTATTGTCATAACCTGCTTCTGTTCCCAATTTTTTCCCGTACGTGTGTGTGTGTGTGTGTGTGTGTGTGTGTGTGTGTGTGTGTGTGTGTGTATGTGTGTGTGTGTGTACACACTCACGCTCATGGCGGTTCGGAGGTCAGAGGACAACCTCAGGTATTGTTCTTCAGTCACTGTCCACGTTGGTTTTAAAGACAAGGTGTCTCACTGGCTGGGACTTGCCATGTAGGTTAGACCGGCAGCCAGTGAGCGCTAGAGAGCCTCACGAGTGCTTTCGCTCCCCCAGTGCTGGGATTAAAAGTGTGTGGGTGCCACCAAACCTGGCCTTGAACTCGGGTCCTTGTGTTTGCAAAGAAACACATTCCATGAGCTGCTTCCTTAGGCCCTGCCAACCTTCCTGTCCTTGTTGCCCACGCTCCTGCCCCTCCTAGTCGGCAGAGAAGTCCGTCTGGGATGCCTGTCTAATTGGGTCTTCTGCCAGCCTAGAATGCTGTGATGGTTTTCCTCCTCAGTCTAGATGTCCAGTCATCCAAGCAGCCTTCGTCTCTGAACCGCTTCATCTTCTTCCTCTCTTTCCTCATTCCGTCATGACCGTCCACTGGGTTTCCATATCGCTTACCAGGTCATGAGACCCTTGGTGGCGGAGTGTGTCCTTTTAAAACTCACCTTCCCGGCACCCGGAAAAGCACAGGTGCTAGATATGTTTGCTGTGTGTAACTTGTACTGCTTATCTCAACAGAAACTTGAAATAACTGTCAAGATAAATGATAATTCGTTTTAGTCTTTTTTTTTTTTTTAAATGGGTCCTATTGGCCTTCAACTCACTACATAGCCCAGGCTGGCCTTAAATGCCACATCCTCCTGCCTCAGCCCCTCCTGATTACTGAGATCATAGGTATGCCCCATTCTGCCTGGTTTCGATCAAGAAATCGTAATTGGTTTACCTATTTCTCTTTCGTCTCTATTGCTGGGTGTGTTTGGGTTTTTTGTTTGTGTGTTTGTTTATTTTGAAAGATTTATTTTTGGCTCATGTTGAAGGAACCCTCAATTATTGTAGAGAAGACACTCAGGCTGGCGTGTCTGTCAGCTTGCTGCTCGAATTGCCTGTGCCGTCAGAAAGGGAGAAGCAGATGAAGAGATCCACAGCCAAGCACCAGGCCGAGCTCAAGGAGTCCAGTCGAAGAGAGAGAAGAGGGATTCTATGAGCAAGGGGCCTCAAGATCACGATAGGGAAACCTACAGAGACAACCAAACCAAACTAGTGGGAACTCATAAACTTTAGACCCACACCCGTGGAGCCTCCCTGGGACTGTGGACTAGGCCCTCTGCACAGTGAGACAGTTGTGTAGCTTGATCAGGACCCATCCTTAGGACATGAACAGGCTTTTTGGAGCCCACTGCCTATGGTGTGACACCTTACACAGCCTTGGTGCAGGAGGAGGGGCTTGGACCTGCCTCAGCTGAATGTGCCGGGCTTTGCTGACTCCCCATGGGAGGCCTTACCTTTTCAGAGGAGGGGATGGGAGGGTGGTTGGGAGGAAGGCTGGGGGGAGCGGGAGGAGGGATGGGGGGATCTGTGGTTGGTATGCAGAATGAATAAAAAATTTCTTAAAGAATACTTAAAAAAATGAATAAAATTAGAATAAAAATAAAGAAAGAAAGGAAGGAGCTAGCGGAGTATCAGTGTTCATCTCTCTCAGGATTTCCCGGCTCAGTCAAACCTCTCGGGAAAAGCCACACAGGCACCTTCTGAGGTGTGCTTCCCGGGTGATTCCAAATGCAGTCAACCAGATGCTTTAAACATTTTATTTACTTGTTAACTTTAGGGAGGAAAAGGTCATTTGGCTCCTGGGTTACAGCTCATCATCAAGGGGAGGGTAAGGCAAGAGCTCCAGACAGGAGCTTGGAGGTGGGAGCTGAGGCAGAGGAGTACTGTTACCATCATGTTTTCACTCGGTACCTTTCTCTTTCTGACATTCTTGCTCTCTTTCTTGTTTCCCTCGTCATCCTCTTCTTCGTTCTTAGAGACTTCCATACAGTGTGTTTTGATCATATTCACCCCCTCCCTCAACTCTTCCTAGATCCACCAGAGAGTGAGAGTGATCAGTTTACCCGGGGCTGCACTCTTAGAGAACACAGTCTCTCTCCATGCAGGGGGCGGGACTGTGTGCCCAGCTTCTCTCTCTGTGTCTTAGCTTATATATACCCGGAAGCCTAAAGATGAAAGGAGTTGTAATCCCTACCTATTGAAGATCATTCATTCGACAGAGCTGACTTCTGCCTCAAGTGTCCCGGCTTCTTGAATCTCATTTCCTCCCACTTTTCATTACATGGATCTCTTAAGGCTCAAAGAATACCCGAGTGACAGCAAGTCTGTCTCTTAGATGTCGTCTACTGTCACAATCATATCTGGGCACACTTTGGCGACTCTTGTTTCCTGTTTCTAGCTTTGTATCGATGGCTAGAAAGGAATTTTCATAAGGTATTCTGTATTGTTATTGCTACCTGGTGATTGCAATCCTGGGCCCTGGGTGATACATCTTCAAATTATACCAATTGTTTTATTTTTCTGCACCTTCCAATAACTAATTTCCCCCTCTCTTACGTCTTTGAAACGCTTCCTGTAGCCATTTATCTTCCTCAATGGCCATGTCAGACGGGTCATTCCTTAGACACGTTTGCTCTAGAGCAGAAACCAGCAGACGTGGTGACAGCATCTCACGGTTCAGGGACTTACTGTGACACTCACAATCTGCCTCCTCCTCCTGGGCGGCTCTGACTAGCCAGAAGCATCTAGATTTACTTACTAAAAGCCCCTGACGCCTTGTGCTTTCTTTTCAAACCCAACCCATTCTTTTTAAAAGTAAATGGATGTCAATTTCCCGCCTTTCTTCTTCTGAGAGGGTCTTTAAAATATAGATTTTGAGTCATGACCCATTTCCCTGCTTCCATATTCGTGTGGTGTGTGCAACATTGCCTGGGTCTGGACTGTAATGTATTATACAAATAAATTCTCCAGATCCGAGCTGCAAATACACTTATCTTAATCCGGCAACCCGATGAGACCATTGGAAAAACATTTTTTTCCCTCTCTGTGGGTAGTTATATTTTATTTCATCGTTAGGGAGTTTGCAGAAATCTGAGTTATAACAGGTTTCTCCCTACAGTTTGTACTCATCAGAATGCTGTTTTGAGATTGTTGCCCCCCCCCCCCCCCCCTGCAAAGAAAAGGCGTGTGTCCTTTCTCTGCACGCATTGTCTTGTTTGGATTTCTGTTTTGTGTGTATCCCCCTCCTCCAGATCTTGGAAAGAGAAAGTCTGTCTGCTTCCTCAGCAGGACCGCAAGGCCTGCAAAGCTTCCTCCCAGCAGGAGCCCAGTGCCTGCTTGCTGGGCCTGCAGAGAGAACAGCCAAACTAGGCCAAGCCAAACACACCTCCTCTCTTCTACCTCCCCCCCGTGCCCCCCACCCCCCACCCCCGCCCCGTACTCATAACAGGGGCTGGGGAGCTGCCTTCCAGATCTTACGCTCTTATTTGGATCTATTTTTATTTTTCTTCCTCGATCCCTAGAGGAAACTGAGAGCCAGCACACAATGCTAGAGTGATATCAAACAGCTCAGCAATGACCCCGGAAGGATGAATCATATGCCTGCTTCCCTCACAGAAGCCGGATTAGTCCTGAATAATGTTCTGCGGCAAAATGTTTCCCTTATAAAGGCATGCTTCAGTGGCCCTTCTTCGTCGTCGACTTTGGAGCAAGTTCGTTTATTCTTTAGTCAGTTCGACCCCTTTGGAATTAAAATGAATAGCCATAATTTCCCTGGCCTGATGTACTTCTCATCCAGGAATTTTAATCTAAATGTAAAAGGGTGAATTATAACTTACAGTCTTTAAGCAAAATATTGAACAAGGCTTTCATTAATTATTGTAATATAAATTTGCCTGTAAAAGTCAAACCGGATTCAAGTTTTTCCTCCCCCCAACCTTTATTCTCCTCGGAGTTCCAGCCTTAGGACTACAGAGACCGGAAATCTTTTTCAAGAGCTGTATTAAGTGCAGGGATAGATAGATATGTATTTTTTTTCCTGCCTCGTGAAGTTTTTCTTCTTGTCTAGTGCTGCCCTCTGGTGACCATTCTGTAAATTACACACCATAGATTTTTTTTTTCCAGTTTAGCCTGAGGTAAATGAACAATCAACAATAAAAGTGTGTGCGATATACTTCAGTTTGCTCGTGTTCATTTTTATCTGTCAAGAAAGAGTTCAGGCCAGATCATACTCCATTCTAGAACTTTTCTGTTTAGAAATATTAAGCCTGGTTCAGGTATCCAGACGTGTATCCCCATAAGCTATCTAAATTTGTTTCCCGCTTGGGCTGAAAAGAGGAGATAAATTTAGCCCAAGAGACGAAGTTTTCCCTTAAAGCTCCCCTCTTTAATTTTAGAGACTGTCCTTCCTACATGCTCCAAAGGCTGGCCTTACTGGTAGCCTCTTGAGCATTCTTGCTTGCCCTCAGGCCGGAGTCCCGGCTGCTTGTTGGAAGTGCCAGCCAACCATATTCCTCTGATGCTTGGCACCACCTCAGCAGTGCTTATCGGAGGATACAGAGGAGGAGGAGGAGGAGGAGGAGGAGGAGGAGGAGGAGGAGGAGGAGGAGGAGGAGGAGGAGAAGGAGGAGGAAGCCAGTGAGTTCCCGTCTGACACTTTGTAGCTATCACCACATCCTAGAGCTGCGGAGCCTCCTGGGAATGGTTCACCCTACAGGATATGCTGGAGTGGATGAGTATGTTGGGAATGGACCAATGCATCCATGTCATAGCAGCCTTGAACCTGAGAGCATGACAGTGTGTGTGTGTGTGTGTGTGTGTGTGTGTGTGTGTACACAGAAGGGAAAGTACAGTGACTGAGTTGACCTCATGTGGGAGTTAATGTTACGTCCCAGGCATCATTACTTCTCAGAAAACCCCATAGAGGAGGTGGGGCCTGTTGTCCTTATTTAATGAGGGAGAACCTCTGGCCTAAAAGAATTGAACAAGGCTGCTTGGCTTAAAGTGAGATCCATGTTGGCCTGACTCTAAGGCCGTCTGTCTTCCCAGATCACTGTTGGATGAGTAACCAGTTAGAGGGTGTTAGAAGATGCTGGTGTTATCTGATAGGAGTCATCCTTGACTGGTGTTTGAACTGGCTACTTTCCCAGCAACCTGACGCTCTGATTGTAATTCAGGATGCAGGAGGGCCAGGAAGAGGAAACAGGGAGAAGACAAGTGGACTTGAACGACTCCTTAAGGACCTTAGGCTGGGGAGGGTCATTGCTCAATGGTTCACTTTTGTCAAGATTCTTCTGTGCGGAATGTGTGCATAAGCTAATGACTCTCTCCAAAGCACGAGGGTGCTCCAGCTGAGCCTCGTCCTGGCCAGTATCCAGGGCAGACATGGAAGAATACAGCTGGAGCACTACAGTCATGCCAGCAGAGAACACTGTGAGCACACACTGCCCTGATGGTGATAATCCCTGAGAAACAGAGAACACTGTGAGCACATACTGCCCTGATGGTGATGCTCCTGAGAAACAGTGAATACTGTGAGCACACACTGCCCTGATGGTGATGCTCCTGAGAAACAGGGACCACTGTGAGCACACACTGCCCTGATGGTGATGTTCCTGAGAAACAGGGACCACTGTGAGCACACACTGCCCTGATGGTGATGTTCCTGAGAAACAGGGACCACTGTGAGCACACACCGCCCTGATGGTGATCCCTGAGAAACAGTGAACACTGTGAGCACACACTGTCCTGAATGCGGGTGTTCCCTTCTACAGAGGGAAGCAGGATGGGGAAAGGCCTCAGCTGTGAGCATCAGGTGGATTTCTTTGTAACTTTGACAATAGCTGTGGATACCCGTGGAATCTGTGTGCTCCACCCTGTACTTCCTATTTGAAATAGTTCATTACTCAAACTTGAAAGACCAAAGGGGCCCGCAGTCCTCCACACTGTCCTTTCTCTTTCATGGGTGACACAGTTTCAGGAGAGACCCTCTCCGAAGATTTTCTGGCTGTAAGTTGGATTAGAAATCACACTTTCCTTAGCCGGAGCTGCGCTGAAATGTCTTTCTATCAAAGCCATGCATCGTCTGAAAACATTCTCTGACGTCTATGTTGGGATGCCCCTGCCTCGGCTGTCCTTCACAGGCATGACTAAAAACTACTATTGCAACAAGCGGGCCATGCATTACTTTTATGCACAGCCAGGAGGGAAAAGTAAGGTTAGATGGACTCTCGAACACAAAACAGAGTCCTTTATGACAAGATTTTGCTGGATGAATACCCCAGCATTCTCCAGGTTTGTCTTGAAAACTGCTGCTGTAAGGAAGACAGTAAGATAAGCTCACAGCGAATGAGTCTACCACCTCCATTTAAAAAAAATTAGTTTTTCAGAGTTAGTATGTAAGGGGCTGGAGAGAGGGCTCAGTGGTTAAGATGTCTTCTTGCACCATCATAAAAGGGCCAGAGTGTGGATCCCAGAGTCCTGCACAGGCCTGAGCCTGGGACCCCAGCTCTGAGGGAGTGGGAAAGAGACTGGGACGTGCTAAGGCTTGTTGACTTCCAGCCTAGGGAGGAAATACAAGCCCCAGAATCAGGGGGAGATCCTCCGAAGCATGGGTGGAATGTACTGGAGGAGGAAATGCCATGCCTTCTTCTGGCCTCACTTCGTGTGCAAAGGTGTGTGCACCCACATGTACACATGTGCACACACGTACAAACAAATAAAGGTGAGCACACAAAATCATGGGCTTCATTGTGCCATTTCTGAACAGACTTTGTTCTTTTTTATCCCCCCCCCCCTCCCCCGCAGAGCTGAGGACCAAGCCCAGGGCCTTGCGTTCTCTAGGCAAGACCTCTACCACTCAGCTAAATCCCTAACCATGCTTCGTTCTCATTTATCCCCATCCCCACTTCCCTCTTCATGGTTTTAGCTCCTTATGACTGGTCACCACTGTCCTAGCAATAGCTGCCTTTCTGCTTTCAGGTCACATTCAACTCTCATTCTAAAGTTGTTTGTTTGTGTGTGTGTGTGTGTGTGTGTGCATGTATGGGCATGCTCACATGAGTGTTGAGATCAGAGGACAACGTCAAGTATCATTCCTCAGCTGCTGTCTACATTTCCTTTGGATGGCTCTTACTGGCCTGGAGCTCACCACGTAGACTAGGCTAGTTGCCTAGCAATCCCCATTGATCTGTCTGTCTCTGCCTCCCCAGACCGGGGATTACCAGCACATACCAGCATGCTCAGCCTTGAAAATACAGGTTCTGGAAGACCAAACTCCAGCTCTTACACGTGCAAGGCGTACACTTCCCTGGCTGAGCTATCACACCAATCCTGCTTCTCTGAGTTGAAATGTGCTTTGGTCCGTTATCTTGGTTGAACGTCACAGTTCCTCTGACAAGGAGCAGAAGCGGAGACAGACCAAGCTCAACCAACTGGGGGTCTGGTTGGTGACTAACTTCACCCAAGCCCCAGATGCACCACCCAGAGACTTCTTCCCATCCTGCCCTTCCCTGTCATCATCCTCAGCTCCCCACTAGCCTCCGCTCCCGTGACTTCTGACTCACCTGCTCATGAGACCACGTCCTTTCGGAACCATCTTTGACACAGATGTCCAGCCTCAGCTCGGTCCCCGTGGCTCCGTGCTTGCTGTCCACGCACAAGTTGGCCGCCACGTTCCGAATCTGTGGCAGGAAGAACACATCAAGCGTGAGGCTGTGTCGCTGACTCCTGCCAATCCCCGGGTTGATAAAGGTCTCCCTCAGTCTGTCTTTTTCATCACCTGACTAGAAAGACACCTTGAATTTACATGCAGTGTGTTGAGGACTTGAAAAATGAGGACACAAAATATGACATAGTCTATGTGAAAGAACACGACATAATCAAAAGATAAAATTACAACTGGCGGCAGTGAAGTGACTCTTTGATTGTGTGACCGAGGGAGGGGCATAGAGCCCTGACCTCTATAATGAGAGTATTTTCTTGTTCAGGTAGTGGTCGACGTGGAATTTTAAGCACCTCTACCATTACCCTCCCTGCGGAGAGAGAATCCCAGGAGGGTGTTACAGGTGAGGTGTATGGTTAAGGAAAGGGGTCCTCCAGCATGGCACAGTTCTGGGCAGGTTACGGTGACCTCAGGTTCCAGTTCGGCTTCAAGTGGCTGTTGTCATAGGCTAGCGTTTCTCCTGGGTGGTAAATTAAATCCTAGAGGATTAGCTATCCTGGCTGAAGATCATGTACAGATTTCATAGTACCGTTCTTTCCAGTTATTCTGTTAATGCTAAATAGGTAGGGGCAAGGAAAGGGGAAATAGTGAGAAAATATCAAGAGCGGAAACAGCGAGAGAAGTGGAGTCTGGACGGGGACAGATCTTCTGTAGTTTCCTTCTGCCAGGAGCGTCCGCCCACCAATTCTCTGCTGCCATCATCAACATAGCCTGTAGTAGGGCTGGATATCAGATACAGTTTGTGATTGTGTGTGTGTGTGTAGGCTACATCAGCCCTGCTATCTCAGGCCTTCGGGACTACCTTGAGCAGTCCCGAATCATTATCTCTCGGTATGTTTAAACATGGAAAAAGATTAGGATGCACTCAACGTTTGCTTATGCTCTGATTCTTTTGCCTGGGCTGAGTAGGTAAGTAAGATCACGCAGCCAGGGCCCGTTCATATGGGAATCGGACAGTGAAATAGAGCAGAGGTTGTGAACATCCTGGGAACTGTGAAAGGATCCAGTGACACCGGGAAGGACATAACACAGAGGGAGCGCTCTCAGGGTTCATGTATTCCAGGAGTACAGGTGGGTTAATGTCCCTCAGGAGGGGACAGAAGCAGCATTCATTTCCTTATTCAGAGAAACTGGCAAGAGGTCTACCAACTGCTACAGGACATCTGATGAGGTCTCTGACTCCTATGTTAGGGCGGTGTGAAAGAAAGCAAAATTTGTTTTGTCCAACATGGAATCCAGGGGCAGCTATGGATCCCCACCTCCAGTACAAGCCGCCTAGCAGCTCAGCACCTGCAGGTGGGTTTGGACAAGAATCCTTCTCTTCATTTTCCTGAGATCCATCACTCGAGCTTGAATCAGGGAAATTGCTTGCCCAGCCCTTGCGAACCAATTGCATCCTCTTCTTGGTTACGGGGAGATCCAGCGGTTCACGAGCGTGAACTTGAGGGCTCATCAGAGTACGGCTGACTGGTCATCACTTAAAGGAAACCTTAGCTTCATCTTTCCGAAACAAGGACGAGGGGGGACCTTTCTTTTGAGATTTTGAAAGGGGGAGGGGCAAGAGGGAAGGAAAGCCTTTTATAAATCCACTTGTCATCACGTGTGTGATGACGCACACAAGCGCCTCTTTAGTAAACTAGGAACACACATAGTTAGATTTCACTGTCGCTGTCACCTTTGTGTGTGTGCATGTGTGTGTGTGTGTGCGTGTGCGTGTGCGTGTGCATGCGTGTGTGTGTGTGTGTGTGTGTGTGTGTGTGTGTGTGTGTGTGTGTGTGTCAGTGTCTTGCTTTATATCTCAGACCATCCTGGAACTTCTGATCTTCTTGCTTCAGCCATCTCTACTGTGTTCGGTGTGCTATCCCTTTCCGGAGCCTGGTCCCCTCTGAAAAGCTTCAGTTTTATCTCCTCCTCTGGGTCCAGTATGTCACTTTTCTGAAGCTGTCTGTCACCAGCACAACAGCCTAGTAGCACTCTGAGAAGTCTGTCTTTTCACCTCTGGGCCCTACCATCCCCTGGCACAGTCTTGTTGGAGAAGGGTTTTCAATGCGTATGCTGACATCACTTCCATGGCACGGCTCTTCCCTCTATAAGGCCATCTAGGAGCCCCAAACCACATTTAAGAGGGGAAAAACAGCTGTTGGTGCATTTGTAACCACTTTGCCACAGAAGGAGAGGCTATCCCACAGGGTTAGCATTGGAGCTTGCCCATCCGTGGGACGCTGCTCTTAGAAAAGGAGAAAGGAGACAGCATCCCAAGCTAGGGACAGGAGTGGTGACTGCCAGCTCAGCCGGTGGATACGACCAACCCTCCCAGAGAGCTTTGCTTTGTTTCCCAAAGTTAGGAGCCCAAAAGGTCTCTGGCAGGGATGGAGGACCCCATTTTCTAAGCTCTCGAATTTTCTAAATTCTCACTCAAATGGCAGCTGTGTAGACAACAGAATAAACTGCTTTGTGAGCCAAATTTCAGGTTTCAAAGGCATAATTGTCTACATCTGTGTAAATTTCAGCACAAAGTTGTGCCAGAGAGGAAATGCTGTGAGTTCAGGACAGGACAAGGTAGACAGCTGGGACGAGACGAACAGCCGGCCATTTGTGCTTCCTTCTTTTCCCTTTGTGTGAAGCATGTGTTCTGAATCTCTCCCTTTATTCACAAGCATAGCTCCATCAAAAGAAAGAGGGGAGCAGGATTCAAACAGAAGAAAGGTTTAAAGACTAGAGGCATTAGTATTTACAAATGGTTTTATTTGGTCTCTACACTGTGTCTGCAAGTAAGGCAGTTTACACACACACACACACACACACTCAAATCTAGGACACGGGCTATTGCATAAATCTGTGAGAGAGGACATCACTTTCAGGCTTCAATCCTTTGCTGCTGTCCAGCTCCAGGGCTTGACATCCTTAAATTGCATCCAGGGATCTGGAGGAGGCTAAGCAGGATTAGAAAAGTGAAGTAGTGCTTGACTAGGCAGGGGTAGGAGGAAGGTGAAGAGCCAGGGAGAAGGAAATCATGATGGATGCCAGGAGCGCAGAAATATGGTCCTTTTGGGTAAGGGTTAGGGAAAGGCAGAGAGTAAAGATGCTTGTTGAGTATACAAGGAAAGCCAGGCTCAAGTTCAACAAACATTCATTCCCCCACCCAGGAAGCTTTGAGGGATCTCACTTGGTGCAGTAATTGCCTACATGTCCAGGTCCCATCCTCAGTACCAAATGTGGTGGCGCACATCTGTAATTCCAGCACTCCAGAGGTGGAGGGAGGTGCACCTGCTGCAATTCTGGGAGGTAGAAGGAGGAGGATCAGAAGGGCAAGTCTATCCTCAGCTACAAACTACTGAGTGTGAGGAACATCATGGAATACCAGAGATCTTGTCTTAAAAACAAAACAAACTAAAACCCAAACGAGATATAAGAGAGATCTGGGCATGGTGGTACATGTCTTTAGCTCCAGAATCAGGAGGGAACAGAACTCTGTGAATTTGAGGCTAGCCAAGGCTACACAGTGAGTCCTTGTTGTGGAGGAGGAGGAGGAATTAGAAGAGGAATAATAATAATAATAATAATAATAATAATAATGAGAAGGAGAAAGGGAGGAGAAGAGGATGAGAGGAAAAGAGAGGTGAGGAGTGGGGCAGAGAGGAGGAATGTAGAAAAATATCAAGTGATGAAGCGATTCACAGATGTAGAATTGGCCACCCATTTTTAAATTGCATTTATTTATTTATTTCCTAGAGAATAAGGCCTCAATTGGATGTTAGGTTAGACAGAAATGCTAGGCTTAACAAACAAGAACCACACTTTGTTAATTGCTCCTAATAGCTTTGGGGCCTTCTAAATGAAACAGTAGATTCGTCACTCACTCCACTAGTGAGTACCTGCTGTGTCCAGGCCATAGATACTGGTCACAGAGAAGAGAGAAGAGGAACCCATCTCCTCTGGGCTGGAGCCCAGGGTATAGTCAGGATGTTATGGAGCACATAAAAGGAAGGGAGGCCCGAATCTCCCAGCATTTCTAGCTGCGAATTTTAAATATGTTCCTCTTCATGGAGCGTGGGTGAATTGTCAAGTGTTCTGGCTAGCTGAGAGGCAATTTCCTCAATTCGTGATTGATGGGGGAGGGCCCAGCCCATGGTGGGTGGTGCCATTCCTGGGCTGGTGGTCCTGGGTTCTATAAGAAAGTAGACTGAGCAAGCCATGAGGAGCAAGCCAGTAAGCAGCACTCCTCCACGGCCTCTGCATCAACCCCTGCCTGCAGGTTCTGGCCCTGTTTGAGTTCCTGCCCTCACTTCCTTCAGTGAGGGACAAGGAAGTACAAGACAAATAAACCTTCTCGTTCTCAACTTGCTTTTGGTCACAGTGTTTCACCATAGCATAGCAACCCTAACTAAGACAGTAAAGTAATTTTTTTTTGCATAATTAGATAGAAAAGACAGGGGTGCAGGGTGGAGAGAGAATTGAGCACGCAGGTCTGGGCTCTGTTCATGCGATAGAAGGAATTTCTCTACAACCTTGGTCATACACCCCTTTGTAAAGCTCAGCTTGCCCATTCATTAAAAAAAAAAAAAAAAACAAAAAACAAACAAACCAAAAAACAAAAAACAAAAAACAACCCCCAAACTATGTTTTATTATATGAAAGAATTTTAAACAAAAACATTGAAAAAACCCATATCCAAGGAGTGCTTTTATATGAAACAGGCTTTAAGAACATGGATGAAAATCCAAAGACTAAGAGAAGGAAATGGCCTCTGCTCACCAGGAGCCAACACTCCCAATGGGGAGACATCACTGAAGCCATCTTCTCCAGAGACAACATGTTTGTCCTCGTTAGTTTTTATTGTCAACTTGACAGGATCTTGGATCATCTGGGAAGAGGGAACCTCCACAAAAGGATTACATCAATAAGACTGGTCTGAGGCCATACCTTTGAGAGCCTGATTTGATTGGTGATTTGTAACAG